AAATTACCCCTACGAATTTTGTAACAGCAAAAAGCCAGAAATATGTTGAAAAAGAAAGAAAAAAAATCAGAGGAAAAAGTGCAAAATTAATTTTATAGAGAAAACTGATGCATATTGAGACAATTACATGGGAAAAACTCTAACCATGATAAAATAACAAAGGCATATGCAATACAAAGTCCGAAATCTGGACTCGTCAAAACTTCGCAATTTCGGATTTTTCCAGATATTAGATCATCAGTTTAAATCTAGAAATTATAAAATTTAAAATATGAAGTCGTGATTTATGAAATAATGAAGTATTTATGATATAAAAGGTATCAAAATTTACAAAAAGCTTAATATTTATTTGTTTACCTTATTAAACATTTCTTTCAATGTATGTTGTTTAAGTTGCTTTGTTTTTTGTGCTAATACTTTCTCTTTAATTCTGTAGACAGACATAATCTGTTGTTTAGTTACATAGTTGAAGTCCTGTAACTGCTGTTTCGAGAATTCCGACTAACTTGTCAATCGAAATTTTCTCGTTTTAAGTAACTTCTCTGTCACTTTCTTCACTATTGGTAGCACTATTTTTTGAATATAAAATCATACTATAGATTTTGCAATTCATTAATTGATTGATGATTAAGAAGCTATGTCATCACAATGAAAAACTTCTTTTTATATCACCTTCATTAATTACCGCTTCTCCACATTTCTTTACAAAATCCGTTTATTGGAAAATTTCATATTTGTTTTGCAATATCCGAAAACCTTTAAAATTAGCAGCTATCATCATCAAATTTAGCTATCTTTCACTATACATATTTGGCTATGCATCATGAGCTTGGCGACTAACAACAAGTTGTTCAGTTAAATTTTATCTTGCTTCTATCATGCACTAACACAATTAAGCCCGATTGTATTAGTTAATTATTATACACATGTCTATTTCTTGCACACGCTTAAGACTTATCAGAATAAATAAATTCCCACATATGCTTAAGCCTTATTGAGGGCCAGCACTAGCTATCTTACTGCCTGATGCAGTCTCTATGCGTTCTAAATTCTGCAACTCGGTGCGGCCATACGAGCTCTGGCGCTGGTTATGGGTTTATGTGAATAACAAATCAGTTATTCTTAATTCAAATAGCCCTAAATGTAAGCTTTGGGTCTATGAGTATCATTAGCAAGTTTATTTTTAGCATATGGAAAGACATTTTCGGTAAATTTTTCCTCGTCAACATTTTTTAGCTCATTAAAGTTAATTCTGGAATCATTGCCGAGCATAATGTCAACATAAAAGGTTACCATACTCCTTTATTATTCAATTGCTAACATAAAAAAATTTTTTAGGCATCACTACATGAGTCATTACTCAAGTTGTCATGTTTTGATAAATATGCAGTGATGAAAGGAAAGTATAATAAATAATGATTTGCTAAGTTGGCATCATATCAACGATGTATCTATGTGAAATGTTTTGGTTTCAAATGTGTGCCTACAGATAGGCAAAAACAGAGACAAATTACTAATCATACAAATTTATGCTAAAATGATCGTTTCTCCAATAACAAGGTATTTTATTTACTGTCGAAGTGAAATTAAGAATCGAGACTCTCCAGATGTTTTATTATTATGCCTGAAGAGGAGAATCAAATGAGTATACAAGAGCCTACGAGAGCTATGAGAATGGGAGACTAAGAGAAAAATGTTGTTGGTGATTTTGACGTCCGGATTTTTAGATCATTTCGGATAATGGACGCCCGGATTTCAGACTTTGTGCTGCAGCTATTTTGCTTTTGTAAGAATTGTGATCATGCACAATTTAAGCATTTATTACCTTGCTTAATTTCCAGATTCAAATTATTGTATAAGTCACCAAAATGGAAAGTAAATTGTGATCAAGCACAAATTAAGCATATATTACTTTGTTTAATTTCCAGATTCAAAATATTGTATAAGTCGTCAAAATGGAAAGTAATGTCACTTTATAATATGATAGCAAAAAATAATGTTTCATTTTAATAATATTTCTTGAATACAGTTTCAATATATTAGCATTATTTTAATGTAATTAATCAATGTTATAATGTTTAAAAAAAAATATCGTTGAAAAATTTTGATTTCCGAATTTAAAATTTTCTACAGAAAGTGAAGTTAAAATTGCGAATATGTTGATAAGTTGCCAAATTGGGAACTGTTAGATAAAGAATTCACATTCCCAAAGCAAAAAGTTGTTTAAGAGTTCTTCATTAGAAAAAATGAAATAAATTTGAAATGCTTACATTTGACTTCTCAGAAACCCAAGTATCCCACCGTTTATATTATAAATGCGAACAAATTATAATCCATGATCCTATTAGCCCATTCAAAACATAACTATATTTGTCAATGAATCACCAAAAATATTTGTCCATAATGCTAATTCACATTCATATTGCCAATCGTAAAAACAGAAATTTCAGATGATTAAAATTAAGGACCTCCTGACGAATTTGGTCAAAATTAAGGACTTTTAAAGGACCAAAAATTGATTCAAGAAAACCTAAGGACTCTTAAGGACCATACAAACCCTGCATAAGGCTGTATGCTAGAAGACCTGCTGTTTGCGTCTTGCTCACTGCAGCACACAAGATGGCACACTGGCATAATACAGATAATAACATGTGCCTTGCACCAGACTTCAGTGGAGCATTGTGCTTTTTTACAGATAAGCCAAGTTTCAGCCTAGACAACAATTCTCGCCATATCCATATCTGGAGCAGAGTGGAACATGATACTGTTCCTTCCTTTTCAACGAAAAGGATCATTACAGTGATGGAAGTGTAATGGTTTAGGTAAACAATATTTTGGATAGCTGCACCCTCCTGCATGTTCTTGAAAAAGGCTTTCTGACTGCTATAAAGTACATAGAGGAGATCTCAGAACTCTGTTCAATTTTTCAGGGACACAGTTTATCCTGAGTTCTTGTTAATGAAAAATAATGCTGATCCACATAGAACTCACCCATTACCTGAAAAGTGAGTATATTCACCGCATGGACTGACCAGCCAGATCTCCTGACTTTAATGCTATATGTCTGGGATGCTCTTGGGAAGGCAATTTCATCTCGCTATCCCCTCCGAGAACCATCCCAGAGTTGAAAACTGCCCTGCTTCAGAAGTGAGATCAACTGCCACACGGACATTACAACTGCCTTCTGTCCAGTACTGGCTGGAAAAGGAGACTATACTCTATATCAGACTCATTTTTAATTCGATATCACAATACAGTATTTTGGACATTCCTGCACTATGAGCAATCATGTATACATAATATGACTTCTGAATGGCACATCTCTTTATCTGTTATAAATGTATATTTGCACAAAATTTCATTACAGTCTATCCATTAGTTTTTCAGAAATTCAATATGACATGCAAATTCTGTTAATTTTTCACAAGAGCATACATCATTACCAAAAATTTTTAGTTTATTTACAAAGCAGTGTTGTTATAAACGCATTTAAAACAGTGAAAAACACATAAACTTACATGTAATTTAGCAGTCTGACTGAATCAACAAAAACAAGCAAGTCGATTAGCAAAACTACTTCAAGCTGTCCTGTAGCATTGATAGTCACCCTATTACTTCTGCCTCTATTGTTGAAAGTTTAGTTTGTAAAAAACTAGTGGGATAGATTGCTCAAAGGTGTATCAAAACCATATGGTTATGTCAGGCTGGACATGCCATCTTTTTGATAAATAGCAATGTAAAAGCAGCTTCAGGTACATTGCCGGCCCACCAGCGGCCGAGCGGTAAAGTCGCTGAACACTGGTAGTTCGGTCCGAGGTTCGAATCCCGCGAACGGGCTGGCTGCATGGGTGTTTTCGTGGTTTTCCCCATGTGTAACGTGTATACGAGCCAATTTCCCTTAGAAAGTTCTCCACGAAGGTATCCCTCCCTTTAGGCAAATAGCCCTAGTGTGCTTTGCCATAATTAAATACACCACCACCACACCATCAGGTACATTGCCTCAAGAAACTTTTCTAAAACATCATCTCAAGAAACTGCCATTCATGTTTACTACAAATGTTTGGTCCAGTATTGTTAAGAACGTAACACTCATGCTTGTTCACTTGGGCAGATGATGATATAAGATATTTCTGGAAAATGTATCGACAAAACTTTTAGATGAACTACAGATCCAGTAGTTATTGCTCCATGAAATGTTGTTCAGCAATGATGTTTATCAGCCCTTAAATGTGACAATGGTGAATCAAATTTAGTTATTCTATTCACTGGTCTGCATGACTGATGGATCTATCATGTTTTAATTAACTTTTTCGGAGTCATTCAAAAGCTCCTATGCACAATACCCATAACCAACATGGATGGTGCTGAGGATCTTCTTGAATGAATCGCCATAGCTCTCCATAGCTGGCTTCCAAGATATACTCAGAATCTTCCAGAATGCTCAAGATTCCATGCATTGACAATGCCAGGTATGTGTTACAACTGGTGGGAGCAACTTTGAACAAATTCTGATACATTTTTATATTTCTGAAATGTACCATTTTTTAGTAATATACTGCATTATATTTACTTACAAAATGATCTTTCATGCTTTCTTTTCACTTCTGATCTCATGATAATGGTGTTTCAATTCCTGCCTAGTTATACGATTCCAATTTGTCTTTCAGCAACCCACCATTCCCAGAAGTTTGTACACGCCACACAAAAACACCGTTTAAAAATGTCTATAGTTATAAGTAAATTGAATAAAGCTCTTCATTTAGCATTTATTTTCCCATCTATTATTTCGATAATGAAAAAATAAGACAACTGTAGACATCAATTAAAATGGCCTCTCCTGTATTTTAACCATGCCTAACTTAGAAGCACATACTATAAAAAATTTAAAAGAAAAACATAATTGAAACTAACTATCCACATATAACTACCAAAATGTTTTCTTAAAAAAAAAAAAAAAAAAAAAAAAAAAAAAAGTACAAGAATCCAGCAATTTTCCCTACTTTGTCTGTCAGGCCGTACATGATCACATATTGAACGAACCTGTGGTTCTGAAAAAAGAAAGAAAGATGATTAAAATACTTTCATTGTAAATATGCTAGCCATCAAATTTACATATATAATTAATTTATGCAAGAGAACACTGAACTTTTAAATTGCAAAAACATAAACTTGAATCATGAAATATTCGATCTACCGGAAAGTTCTGTCCATTTTTAGAATAAATCAAAATATAAATTTTTCTTACTTTCAATAAACTTTATTAAATAATATAATTGCCAATAATATGAATAACTTCTCATCAGCATGAAGGCAATTTGTATAACCCATTTTTGAAAAAGGTTGTATCTTTTGATGTGAAAAATTGAACCAGTGCTTGTTTGATATCCACTTCATTTTTTATTTTTTTGCCCTTCGAAAAATTTTGTAAGGACAAAAATAAGTGAAAGTTGGAGGGTACTAAGTCTGGAGAATATGGTGGATGAGACAGAATTTTCCAGCCTATTTCTGCAATTTTTTGACGAGTCCCCAAACAGCATGTGGCCTGGCATTATCATGATGCAGTATGATGTCCTTAATGCCGGTCTCTTGAACAATGCTGGTCTCTTTTCTTGAACTGCTGTCGTTAAATTATCCAGCTGCTAACAATACTTCTCCGAATTGAGCTTTTCATATGGTTTTTAAATGCTTATAATGTATTGGTCCTCGAATGTCACCATACATACCATATACACAGCATTCTCTTATTCAGAGCCAAATTTAAAGAGAAAGGCTAGGTTTTCCGGGTTCACAATATGCCCTTTTCCTTACGATGTTTTTGAAGATAATCCACTTTTCATCCCCAGTTATCATACGGTTCAAGAAGGGCTCAATTCTGTTCCGAGCAACCAGAGATGTGCATATGACGACTCGTTCATCGAAATTCTTCTGATTTAATTCATGTGGAACCCATCTTGCATATTTCCACACCAACCCTACCTTCCGAATATAATCTGAAATGGTTTGCTGAGCTGAATTAAATTTTTTCTAAAATCTTTAATGTCATTAAAAAAGTATCTAGCTCCAACATTGCTGTTGATCAAAGATGGTCGCCCAGAACGCGGCTTATCAGAAAGGTCCAAATTAAATGTTTCAATTTGTTCGAATCATCTTCTGCATGCCCTATCAGAAACTGTACCTTCACCAAACACTTTCAATAAATTGCTACATGCTTCTGTAGCATTTCTACCTTCATACAAAATACAATGGCATTCATACAAAATACAGAAATTCATACAAAATTACTGTATTTTGTATGAAATTCATACAAAATACAGTGGCATAAATAAACTTTATCAGCAGCCATAAGTACACTATCGCTTCACACTTAAGACTAATATGAATCAACGTTGTTTTAGTTAATTTGCTATGTCAGAGTGTTTACATTAAGCAATAAAAATAAAGAGCTAAACATGTGCCAAATAAACACGTGCTTACATATCGGAAATTTTTGTAGTAGAAATGGACAAGAACTTTCCAGTAGACTGAATATATAATAAATCCCCAATAATTCTTAATACAGAAAACTAGCAAAATAATTTTTTGAAATAAGAATTAATTTGCCACTAAATTTGCATTAAAGAGCCAAAATAATTTGACCACCAGCCTCATAGGATGTTTACCCTCCCATATACTGCTACATTTAAGCATTGGTACATGGATTCAAAAAAGCTTTTGTGATATTTGGTCGCAACATCTTGTCTGGTAGTTTCTTAATCCTCTAAGCAGGACAACCATACATATATATTAAAAAATATCAATCTGTCTAATAAAATTCTATTAGACAGACATGTGACTTGAAATGTGCTTAGACAATTCAAGTAGTATATATATATTAGAAGAATGAAAGGAGTCAACATAGAAATGGGAAAGGGTAATTTTGGAATTATAATTAAAAAAGAACTTTCTTTTCTTTTGGGTCTTTTGGGAAACTTGAAAGAAAAGGTCTTTAGGGAAACTTGAAGGGTTTGGGAACTACATATACTTTTAAAAGCAGAATTTTCCTCCTCACATATATACTCTTAACATAGGACCTTTTTTGAGAAAAATCTTACTCACCAAATCCCATATCAAACATTCGATCAGCTTCATCTAAAACAAGAAAGGTTACTCTTTTCAAATTTGTTGCCTTTGCTTTGATCAAATCAATCATTCGTCCCTTTCAAAGATTAAAAAAATAAATAAATAAATAAATAAAATAAGTTTGCAAATAAATATTGAAAACTATCATAATATCTGAAAACATTTAACGAAAAAATATTTACAATAATGTGCAATGGCATATGGTAAAGGTGGGGAACATGCAGCCTCCACGAGTTTCTTGTGCGGCCTCTAGCTCTTGCATTAATTAATATTTAATTATATAGATTACGGCAATTTAAAAATTAATAGAATTAAATAGCAGGCTGCCAACTATTGAACATAATATGAATTATAATGCCACAGTGTTGCAGTTATAGCAGTCTTTCATAGTCTGAAATTATTACCATTCTGGAGCACTTTTCAATTTGCCAACGTCCAACAATAGAAATTCTGTTTTGTTCATATTTTTGGCCATGGCTCAGGTTTACTTGAAATACACTAACTCTTGTTGCTATAGTAACTGCCACCCACCAGACATCATGCCGGTGGCTGTTCTGAGAGACAGACAGTGCCTACTTTTCTCCCTCTGCCCCACACCCCTCACCATTCTCTGTAAGCTGCAGAGTTAGCGACTCGTAGTTATATGTGCGTGCTTGTAACTGTCTCATCTTGTATTGTTTTTGGCCATTGTGAAAATCTAGTTATTATTTTACTAATTCTGAGGTTATACTAATACACAGTTTTACTGTATTTTCAGCAAGTATGTGCTTTCTTAAAGATACTATTTGACATACCTTTTCTCTCCATCATTTCAAATTCTAAGAAAAGAAAATTAAATGAAGAAAACAGAACATTTAATGCAGAGTGGGATTACATCTTTACTTCTTTCTGTGAAAGATAAAATAGTCTGTTTATTGTGCAATACAATTTTGACTAATTTGGAAAAAAGCGAACGCAAATAAACACTATTTGGCTCATAAAGAACATAAGTATTTCAATTTAGAAGGTGAATCTCGACAAGCTGCAGTTCAAAAATTGAAAAGCATCATCAACAGCCGTCTTTTAATGCTTTTGTAAAGAAAAATACCACCGCAGTTGCTGTTACTTACAAAACAGCACATATACTTAGAAGCAGACTATTTAGTGACGTCGAAATAATTAAAGAATGTATTGTTGAAGCAGTACGTATTTTAGATCCAGAAAAAGTTGATAGATATAGACAATTGCCTCTTTCAAGAACTATAACAAATCGGCAGCATAAATTACCTGAATATGTAACAGTGCAACTTCGAACACTTATACAAAATCAAGATATTTATTTTTGAATTGCTTCAGATGAAAGCCTGATAAAACTGACTCGGTGCAAGCTTTATATTTTATTCATGCTGTAACTAAAGATCTTCAGCGTTACGGAGAACTTGTTCGGGACTAACTGGAAAAACTGGCAAAGTTGACATTTTTGAAAACTTCCAAGCATTTCGAAAAGAATTAACATTGCTTGGATATATCTGCAGAACACTTCTTGGAGCTAGCAAAAATGTAAAAATAAAACATTCAATGAATATATAGGTGTCTTGAATTTTTTACTAGAAGAATATACTGAAAGATCTTTGGATTTTGATGAGCACATTTCTGCCATGAAACTAGCATTTGAACCACATTTAGTAGCTACACCAAAAGCTCCTATGGAACTATAAATGGAGTTATTTGAGTTGTGGGAAGATAGTATTCTCAAATCTCTCTCTCTCTCTCTGATGCTAAAAAGGATCCCACAGAAATCTAGAAAAATCCTGTTGAATATCCATGCCTACGAGAGCATGCACACCGTTTACTTTCCTGCTTTGGAAGTACTTATTGCTGCAAGTCAACATTTTCTCTCATGACAAAAATTAAAATTAGTTAAAAAATGCAAATTACAGATGCTCACTTAGAGGATCTCCTAAGGCTACACACTGTGAAGCTTGATCCAAATTTTCCATCAGATTTTAACATTACATTATTTTACATACTACTGCTATATTGGTTTTCTTTAACTTAATATTATTACTTTTTTATTGTTTTCTGTAATTTATTGAAAAATGCTTCTACTTTATTATTTTTATTTGAAATACTATTTAAATATATGCAGTTAATTAAAAATTATTAAAGATTAATATTATACTAAGCTATTAGCATTATATGAATACAAAAATATTCTATATTGCAATGTTTTTATTTTAATAAATGACTTCATGTTTTTTGCATTATTTCTATATAATGCAACTAGCATTTGAACTATACAAAAACTATAATAATTTCACAAAAGTTGCATTTATGCCTCTCGTGGTAAAAACATTCCCCACCTCTGGCATATGCTTTAAAATCAAGGGAGTTTCCTTATTATACTCTATCTCCCACTGTAATAATTACATTCATCAAACTATTACATTGTAATATAAACAAATATAACTTTTTTATATCACAGTGTTAGGTTTTAATAAGAGTAGATAACTATTTATAATACTCAAAGAGGTCCTAAATTACATGAAAATTTTACACTTGCATTATTTATTAATTTTAGCAGAAACAGGTTTTGCCAAGTGCATGACTTTGAAATTGGGGCAGTTGCAATTTAGTAATTCAACAAAAACTTTTTGCGACATTTTAAAAATTAACCTAATTTAGACTTTTTTTAATTGAAATATCTAGTTTCTGAAAATAGTCTTTCATGCCAATTTTAAATATCTTTAATGAAAAATTATGCAGTCAGTAGTCTTTAAAATATATATATTTTTTTTTATTTTATATAAAAATAATTAAAAATTTATTATGTTAAAATAATTAAAAGCAATTATATTACTTGATTCAACCCTAGATTTGCATAATCATAGATTAATTTTTACACCAAAATATTGCAATACATGTTTGCTGTTTTAGCTCCAGTGGCTTAAGAAGAGTTATAATGCGCAAACAGTAAATAAATGCAACTTCCGTGAATAAAAAATTACACTCATATATTATAAACTTACAAAAGAAGACTCATATTTCTACAAGTCTCCAGTTACGTTTTTAAATAGTCTAGCATTTCTCTTATATCATTCCCCATATACAAACATTTTTAATGGCTTATTTGAGTTTGTAAAATTGATAATCCACTACACTTAATAAAAATACACAAGAAATAATAGAAAATTAAAGCTGCATTATGTGATAATTATTATATTTTCATTCTACTAAAAATATTGGTGAGAGGTTTTACCTTTCGTTCTGTTAAAAAATATTGGTTAGGGGAAGAGGAATCCTCTTTTTCCCAACAATAATTTCTACAAAAGATTTAGGTACTTATCAAGACACTATATACATACTGGAGTTGCAACAACAATTTCAGCTCCTTCTTGAAGAGCTTTTGTTTGTTCCCATTTACTTCCACCACCAAAACAGCATACCACATTTATTCCATAAACTTTCCCAAACTTCTTAGCCTCAGTGTAAATCTATTGGAAAATAAACAATATAAAAATCTTTTGTTTTGAAGACGAAGAAGAATAAAAGAAGAACTAATATTATTTCATTGTTATTTTATTTTACTAATCTATTTGCATACTGCCAATCAAATATGGACAGCATTTGAAATAGGCACAATTTCAAGTAGCATAACATTTTAAATACTCATAAATATTCATTATACTTTTTATAGAATACAGTACCCGCTGCTTATTAAACTCACAGGTCAATAAAAGCAATCACTTATTACATTCAAATTCCCACGAACCACAACAAACTGTTTATTAAACTCATTTAGACCACTTTTTAAATTCAGAGTGGCAAAAAACTAAGTCATTAGTGCCATAATATTGTATTTGAACCTATCAAGGCTGCTTGTTGTCCATCTGGTTAAGTTATTAAGGCCATGGTTTATTTATTATTAAGAGATGTAGAACTTCAATAAAATCAATTTGACCAAAATTTTGGAGCAAAGTACTATCCTTTTTCCTACTCCCTGTACTTGTCAGTCAATGTTTAGTCCGGACTGGAGCTAAGAGGGTAGAATTTTTTTTTTTTTTTAAAGCAATTTAGTAAATATAAATGACTAAGTGCTTCTTGCAGAATGCCAGCAGAAAAGAGGTTTAAATACAATCTATGCATGCTATCTCTTTAAGTTCCCGTTTTTAGAATCTTCCCACTGGAATACACATTATGTTCAAACATTATGTTATGTCAACAAAATTGAAATGCTTTCTAAACCTATCACACTTATCAGCCTTTGAATGGAAAAGAAGTGGTCACTGTAAGCTGAAGAAGAAGCACAGAAAGCACTGGGAATACCTGTAATCATGAAGTGGCATATTGACCTTAAAAGACAAAGTGTAATCTTTTTGCTGGCTAAAAACATTTCTTTTGTTATTGAAAAAGTTACCTCAAAGAGCATTTTTTTTTTTTTTTTTTTCAAATTTCTTGAGCATGTAACTTGTTAACATATTGAAAATTAAGAGAAAAATTTAAGCCTGAAAGAAAAGGATAAATTGTTAAAAGAATAAGATGCTCCTGATAAGTGCAATCAAAGAGAAGTTGCACTTGACTTGGAATTTATCAAACATAACTGTGGAATCTACTTAAATAAAGAATTATAATTAAGAAAGAACTAATAAAAATGCAAATATTTTCAAGAAAATGCATAGGATGGAAAATTTAGAGACGTTGAAATTGCTTTTTAAAATGGTTTCAAGATACAAGACTAAAAAATGTTTCTTAGAGTTCTTTTGTCCACAAAAACTTGTTAAAATGGAGAATTTTATACTGATGGATAGCTCACAAGTTGGAAAGGGAGGGAAAAAAATACACATTCACTGTAAAAAGTATTATCAGAAATAACAGGCAGATCATCATATGACTGTTTTACCTAAACTACATCAGAAATATAAGCTATGTAAAATTTAAATTATAGACAAAACTGGACTGTGTAACAGAATATTACCTGAAAATACATTAATGCTTAAAAATAAAACTGCAACTAAATGTAAAAATTTGAAAGAACAAATCACTTTGTAATTAATATGCATTATGGATGCAACAACTACAGCGACACTATTGGTTATTATTGAAAAGAGTTAAGAATTTACCTCAGAAACAAGAATGTATTAATGACATATAGTATTTTTACTGATTTTCTTTTGAAATTAGATAGCTAACTGCTAATGAAAAAAAGAAATATAGATAACCATGCAGCACACGACCTGATTTTGTTCTGAAAAACACGAAATTATTTTCTTCCTGCAAATATAACTTCTATAATTCAGCCTTTAGACTAAAGTAGTATAAAAGTTCATTTCAAAAAAGATGTCAATCAAAAAGTGATAAATAAAACTAAACCTTGCGAAAATGCAAGCACTAAGTCATAAATAAGATAACTCAGTATCTTTGCTAAAGGCCATGCATATTATAAGTTGATGTAGAGGAGGTACAGTCACTCAAAACACATTTAAAAATTGTTTTAGAAACTGTACCTTTTATATAGAATAAGCCCTAGAGCAGCGGTCGGGGAACCGGGGTAAATTACCCCAAATGGGATAAAAATGAAACTTTTGTGAGTAAAAAGTATATATTTTTAATTTGCAATTTTATAAACCTGTTAGTATTTTTTTCAACTTAAACAATTTAGCAACATATGCAGGCCACGCCATCTCACTCCCCACCACTAGAGTGTTCTCGAGTTATATCTTTGCGCAGTAAAGCACAGCCCCGGCTACCTGCTCAGTCCGTGCCATTGCGTGAAGATACAAATACATTGATGAGTCAGAGAGCGATTTTTTACTAGTTAGTTGCTGACAAGACCACCATTTTATCATTAATCATCGATATATCAATCAAGGTAAGCCGCAATTTGAAAATTTATTTCAAGTATATTACTACTATTATTTTCTGTCTTTTTTCAGATGGCAGGAAACAGAAAAAGAACATACCAAGACGAATTCCTTAATTATGGTTTTACACAAATAGATGACAATGGTACAATGAAACCACAGTGTGTTGTATGTATGAAGGAAGGTACTGACTTCAGAATCTTTCAAAAAAAAGTTAAGTGAAGAAACATTTAGATAATTTGCATTCACACCTGTCTTCCAAACCGCGAGAATACTTTGCAAATTTAGAAACATCTGTTAAAAGACAAAGATTGAATAGCAACTTGTTTGGTACATTTGATCAGCGTTCAGCATCAAGGACTAGCTTTGAAGTAGCCTGGTTGATTGCTCGAAATAAGAAACCATACACTATTGGTGAAGATTTGGTTTAACCAGCTGCTGTAAAAATGGCAGAGATTATGTGTGGTTAAAAAGAGGCGAAGAAACTGAATTCAGTGCCCTTGTCTGCGAGAATTGTGAAAGAACGAATTTCTATATTAGCAGAAAATGTGAAGGAACAGGTTATTTTCGCATTAAAACAGGCTAAATATTTTGCTATTCAGCTTGATGAGACAACTGATTTTAGTAGCAATTCACAGCTAATGGTATGTGTTCACTACAAAGGTGCAGATAATTTTGAAGAGGAATTGCTGTTTTGTTCTCCTCTCGAGTTGAGATCTCGTGGTATTGATGTCTACAATAAAGTAAATGAATACTTCAATGCGCAAAGTTTAAAATGGGAAAACTGTATTTCTGTATCTTTGGATTGGATGGAGCTCCAGCTATGCTGGGTCATATTAATGTTTTTTCGGCTTTCGTAAAAAAAATAACCCAAATATTGAAGTTACTCACTGTATGATCCATCGCCAGGCCCTTATGGTCAAATATTTAGAACCTACACTGGAAGCCGTCATGCATGATGTCATCAAGATTGTAAATTTTATCAAGGGACATGCACTAAACACGCGGCTATTTCGTGAATTATGTCAGGACGGTGAAGCTGAATATACGGACCTACTTTATTATACAGAAGTAAGTGGCTCTCTCGCGGAAATGTACTAAATCGAGTATAGACTCTACAGTTGTAAGACATTTTATCAAACTCAGAAAGCGGTTTTCAGATTACTTTCCAGATCTTGATACACGTACTGTCAGTTGGATTGTAGATCCTTTTAAATGTGAAATTGCTATGATACCAGAAGAACCTTCAGGTTTGGCAGAAGCAATTCTTGAACTTCGATCTAATACCGAAGCACGTATTCAATTTGAGAGTAAACCAAATCTGTCGTCTTTTTGGATGTCAAAAGCTGCAGAGGCTTTCAAAATTGCACATGAAGAGGTGGTTAAAAAATTGCTGCCATTTGGAACAACATATTTGTGCGAACAAGGCGTTTCCACTCTAATGAACATAAAAACGAAAAACAGAAATCGATTAAACGTTGAAGACTGTACTCAAATCGCTCTTACATAAAAAGTCCCAATTTTGAAGCAATTGTATCGAATATGAAACAACATTATTTCTCCAAAACGTGAAGGAAGAATGTTTTCAATTATTCTTTTTTTTCTAATTTTTTCAATTCTAATTTTTGTTTGTACCACCATTATTATTATTATTATTATAATTTGTTACAGTACCCCAAATTGTAAACCCTCAATTGTACCCCAATGGGTTTCAATTTGTTATATATATTACTTATATTACTATTATTACCATTATGTATTACTAGGTATTGCATTGATAAATTGAATAAATGATATTTAAATTAAATTTTCAGTTATTGTTTTCTTTTCAAAATTATCATGGGGGCTATAATATGAAAGATGCTAAAAAAGAGGCAATTTAAGTTTTTTTTTTTTTTTTTTTTTTTTTTTTTCTTCTCTTTGCCATGGGGTAATATCAACTTACACAAAAATATTTTGGGGTAATGATTAAAAAAATTCCCCGACCGCTGCCTTAGAGGAACTGTGATAAATAATTTTTCAGTCCTTTGTGAAAGAACTTATGATGATTCTCTGATTCTCTTTTAAAACACGTAACAGCTGACAATAATATGTGAGGAAAAAAAAATTTTTTAATAATATTGCACAAAGCATTAAAAAAGCTGCAGAAACCCTTACTGATAGTAGAAGTGATACAGAAGAGAGTGATGATGTGCCAACCTCAATTAAATTTAAGGGAGGGGGGCAAAAACAGCAAATTCTACCCAAAACTCCAGACTTGAAAGGTGCTGATCAGAAAACCTACCAGAAATTTTATGAAACTGAGAATAATATTGAAAACTGTCAATAAATAACACAGAGCATAGATGGAACAGTTGTTAGTAAAAGTTCGAAGTGTAATTAGATTCATATTTATAAAACTATTAAAATATTTATATAATAAATTAAAAAATAAAATTCAAAATCACATAAATATTTTAATTTTAGCATTAATTTTTTATTGTAATTTTAGGTATTAATTATTGGATGAACTGTTAGATATAATTTGCAATACACAAATTGTGTGTTAAACTCACTTGCTTAATAAACTCAAATATGCTTGGAACAGAAGTGATTTTTATATGTGGCGGGTACTGTATAAGGATTTTAACTAA